CCCACCTGGTCACACCACCCACCTGGACACACCACCCACCTGGACACACCACCCACCTGGACACACCACCCACCTGGACACACCACCCACCTGGACACACCACCCACCTGGACACACCACCCACCTGGACACACCACCCACCTGGACACACCACCCACCTGGACACACCACCCACCTGGACACACCACCCACCTGGACACACCACCCACCTGGACACACCACCCACCTGGTCACACCACCCACCTGGTCACACCACCCACCTGGTCACACCACCCAACTGGTCACACTACCCAATTGGACACACCACCCACCTGGACACACCACCCACCTGGACACACCACCCACCTGGACACACCACCCACCTGGACACACCACCCACCTGGACACACCACCCACCTGGACACACCACCCACCTGGTCACACCACCCACCTGGACACACCACCCACCTGGACACACCACCCACCTGGACACACCACCCACCTGGACACACCACCCACCTGGACACACCACCCACCTGGACACACCACCCACCTGGACACACCATCCACCTGGACACACTATCCACCTGGACACACTATCCACCTGGACACACCATCCACCTGGTCACACCACCCACCTGGTCACACCACCCACCTGGTCACACCACCCACCTGGTCACACCACCCACCTGGTCACACCACCCACCTGGTCACACCACCCACCTGGTCACACCACCCACCTGGACACACCACCCACCTGGACACACCACCCACCTGGACACACCACCCACCTGGACACACTATCCACCTGGTCACACCACCCACCTGGACACACTATCCACCTGGTCACACCACCCACCTGGACACACTATCCACCTGGTCACCACCCACCTGGACACACTATCCACCTGGTCACACCACCCACCTGGACACACTATCCACCTGGTCACACCACCCACCTGGTCACACCACCCGCCTGGTCACACCACCCACCTGGACACACCACCCACCTGGACACACTATCCACCTGGTCACACCACCCACCTGGACACACTATCCACCTGGTCACACCACCCACCTGGACACACTATCCACCTGGTCACACCACCCACCTGGACACACCACCCACCTGGACACACTATCCACCTGGTCACACCACCCACCTGGACACACCACCCACCTGGACACACCACCCACCAGGACACACTATCCACCTGGACACACTATCCACCTGGTCACACCACCCACCTGGTCACACCACCCACCTGGACACACTATCCACCTGGTCACACCACCCACCTGGACACACTATCCACCTGGTCACACCACCCACCTGGACACACTATCCACCTGGTCACACCACCCACCTGGACACACCACCCACCTGGACACACTATCCACCTGGTCACACCACCCACCTGGACACACCACCCACCTGGACACACCACCCACCTGGACACACCACCCACCAGGACACACTATCCACCTGGACACACTATCCACCTGGTCACACCACCCACCTGGTCACACCACCCACCTGGTCACACCACCCACCTGGACACACCACCCACCTGGTCACACCACCCACCTGGTCACACCACCCACCTGGACACACCACCCACCTGGTCACACCACCCACCTGGACACACCACCCACCTGGTCACACCACCCACCTGGACACACTATCCACCTGGTCACACCACCCACCTGGTCACACTATCCACCTGGTCACACCACCCACCTGGACACACTATCCACCTGGTCACACCACCCACCTGGACACACCACCCACCTGGTCACACCACCCACCTGGACACACTATCCACCTGGTCACACCACCCACCTGGACACACTATCCACCTGGGCACACCACCCACCTGGACACACCACCCACCTGGACACACCACCCACCTGGACACACCACCCACCTGGTCACACCACCCACCTGGTCACACCACCCACCTGGTCACACCACCCACCTGGTCACACCACCCACCTGGTCACACCACCCACCTGGACACACCACCCACCTGGACACACCACCCACCTGGTCACACCACCCACCTGGTCACACCACCCACCTGGTCACACCACCCACCTGGTCACACCACCCACCTGGTCACACCACCCACCTGGTCACACCACCCACCTGGTCACACCACCCAGCTGGTCACACCACCCACCTGGTCACACCACCCACCTGGACACACCACCCACCTGGACACACCACCCACCTGGACACACCACCCACCTGGACACACCACCCACCTGGTCACACCACCCACCTGGACACACCACCCACCTGGTCACACCACCCACCTGGACACACCACCCACCTGGTCACACCACCCACCTGGTCACACAGAGATGGTAGAAGCATCATGAGGACAGAAGTTGAGAAATGGAGAATAGAATAGGGAAGGAAAGAAGCGTGAAGAGAGAATAGGAAAACAGAGGGGATGAAACAAATGAGAGAGGAGGGGATTTTTAGTGATGATAAAAATGAGGGTGAAGAGCAGTGGGAGACAGGGAAGATGATTCCATTTATTTCGCAAAACTTGGGGGAACTCGTGTATTAATTCTATGAGTGAGTGGTGTTTGTGTGTGTGTGTGTTTAGTGAGGGAGGGAGTGCTTGTGTGTATGTGAAAGTAGAGAGGGAGATGACGTGAAAGGGAGGGATTAAAGTTCAGAGGGAGGAAGAGAAGGTGTGTGGGAGGGGAGGAAGGGATAGAATGTGCAGGGAGGGAAAGGCGAAGAGGCAGGATAAAATAGTGAGAGGAAGAATTATGTGGGACAGGAGCATGTCTGTGAGATAGAAGATAGGAGTAAGAAGAAGTGAACATGCTACTCTAGTTTTCACCAATTTAAAAATATATTTATTTATTAAATATTGATTAGAATATTTCAAGCAGTTATAAAGTTGAATTATATAATTGACACGAGTTTACTAATAATAGATTGGATGTACGAGCAACACTCGACGTTTTCAGAATATCTCAACGTATTATGTGCAAATTATTAATTATAAATCATGAGTTATGAGGCCAGAGACAACGCGCACGTATTAGCCACTTTTCACACTAAGTGCACGACGATTTTGGCGTTATTCGATCACTTCGTTGAAAGTATCGTAATACTGACGCTTTCTCGAACTAATGAAAATCGGCCTATTTGGTAAGGTGAAGAGGGGGGGGGGATTATGAGGAGAAAGCGCCAAGGCATTACGACTGTATAGCACTTGGAAGGGGTCAGGATAAGGATTTGGGATAGGCCGGTGGGAAGGAAGGCTTTTGTTTATTCAAAAAGCACTTCAATTTTGACGCATGTTAAATCGTTAGAACTAATTGCACATAGAGCATCTCCAGTTGACTAGAGTGGTGGCAGCGATGATGCAATGTGACAGCTTAATTGCAAGCTCGTTAACGGCTCTATGAAGCTTTCAGCGGCTCCGACTCACAATTGCAACAGACAGCCTTTATAAATGTTCATAAGTGATACGTGCATTTTAGACATTCGTTGGTGACACATGCATGACAATCGTTAGTGAGTGATTGACACTTCATGAACGTTCGTTCTCCCACACATGCCAAAACTTTCCCGACCAGGCGACCCAAACAGGTTAATACGTTCGTGACTGGAAGTCGTAATGGGAGTGTTTGTAACGTGTGTTCCCAGGTCGCTGCAGATCACACATGAAACATTCTCAGCCGCCACGCGCTCTCTCAAGCTAAACACATTTTTTTTTTATTTCCTTCACATACAACCCAATCTGGTATCAAAAGTTGACATTTCTAATAATCTTTCAGGTAACCGGGACGTCTTGTCTAACACCTAGATTTCTAACTAACTTTCTAACTTGTCTAACACCCAGATTTCCCTTAAACTTTAATTTTGATAAATATTGATTTATTTTGTCTATATATTTCTAAGACCAAATAATGAATCTCAAAATAATTAATGGGAAAAAATAATGAAATCACGAGAAGGAGAATAAAAAGCAATTCATTATTATATTATAAAAACAATTATATCATACCAATTTAAAAAAAAAAAAACAGCACCACAGGTAAAATACAAATGTAAGCAAAACACCAATATGTTTTGAACGGACCAGGGCAATGAAAAAGATTTAAAGCCCTCATTTAGTTAACGAAAATTGATGTTTTGAAACTCTCCGTTGGTGCGCAATGTATGTCAACGGTGAACTGTCATCAATTCCACAACCAATATATCAGGTGCTTGTGTCCCTACCTACATTCAGGCGCCCGCGCACGCAGGCCCCCGCGCACACACCCGACCACATATATATACACATATAGGGCGGGCGCGCGCGCGCACACACACACACACACACACACACACACACACACACACACACACACTTCTATCACAACATCTAACATATACCATATTTGTTCTTAGTCAGGGCTTGCAATGATACAAATTGTAACTTATGTGAATTTCAGCGAACAACCACTTGAAGGACACACGGTGTCCTTCAAGTGGTTGAGGAGAGAAATAGTTTGATTGTTTCAAGACACTAATTACAGTCGACACAAATTTTCTCCCCTGCCGTTGCAGGAACGTTACTGGTTAGTCAAATTTTGTGTTTTTATTTAAATAGTAGGTTGATAAAGGGTAAGGGAATGAGAAGGGATAGAGGGTGAGAGGGATCAGAAGGGGTAAAATGTGAGGGGATGGGATGGGATAATGGGTGAGGGGATGGGAAGGGGTGAAGGGGTAGAAAAGGATGAAAGGTAATGGGTTAAATATTAATAATCACAAATATTTCAATCTTCACGCAAATGTGTTAATAAGGACGGCACTCTACATCTGAACCTCAAGTGAAAACAGTTGTGCATGTACAGCTCAATAACTGATGAGAAGCAAGAAGATGGGCCATTCACTGGGAAGTGGAGCCTTGTAGATCCACCGCGAACCATTACGCGTGGTGGCTCTTCCCCCCCCCCCCCAACACCCATGTTTCCAACTGAACAGTGAACAATTTTGCTGAAGTTACCTGAACATTGGTGGTCGCGTCCTTACTCCATGGTCGGACACGAAAACAGTGTTGCTGGGAGTAATTTTTGTGGTGAAATGAGTTGAGGATTTTTGTTTTTCTGCGCGTTGAAAATGGTAGTTTATAGTGGTGGCTTATGCTGATCTCAATATTCCCTTCTTGACACCTGTGGGGGATTAAGAATGGTAAAATGTTACTAAAAATCTGTAAAAACGAACACCAAGAGAAAAAGTAATTGTTTCTGTACCGATTGCATGTCCAGTTGTAAACGTGAGAGTTGGTGTGTAAATGTACGTGAGCGCGCGCACTCAGGTAGGTGTGTGTGTGTGTGAACGCGAACGCGTATGTAGATGTATGTGAACGCAAGCAAGCGGGTTGGCGTGTATGAGCGCACACACGTGTATTTACTATTTGTGCCTGTAGGATAGATATATTTACAATTTGTGCCTGAAAATACACTGACGTGTATATCCTATATGGGCCTGTATGTGCCTCGGCCCATAAAACAGAAAAGAGAGTCCTGCAAAATATTATTGATAGAGATGTGACCCCTCCTGACACCAACCTAAAGATTGAATTAAATATGTACTATAAGAGCAAGACGACTGCCAACTTAATGACGAAGAACTCGCCTGACACCAATTAAAACCCCATGAAAGAGACGAATGTTGTCTATGCCTTTACATCCCCACTTGGAGACCGTCAGCCCCAACGAATTCAATATATAGGCAAGACAACAACATCCCTTTCAAGGCGCCTAATATTGCACAAGCTGCATTAAGGCCCTATTAAGGAACATACAGCTCCTAAACATAACCAGACCATCACCAGAGATTTCCTCAAAAGCAACACCCAAAAAACGACAGGTTCAGCCACAAAGATGACTGGACATCGGCAAGGCTTTATACATCAAGCAAACCAAGCCATTTATCAATAGCCAATTAGCCTCAACTTTCCAGAACTTCAAATATCCAGAACACGACGGAACATACAACATATTGCCCCAGACGTCATGCAGACAGGAGACTGACAAGATGAAATAGACTTGAAGTGTCTAGAAGTAGACATGAAGTTGAGGTGAAGTGATGAAATAAATGAAGTGCTTCACCTTCACCTCATCCTCGGGTATATTTAAAGCAGCAAGACTCTTTGTAATCTTTACGGGCTATTCATGCCCGTGCCACCTCTTGGGTGGCTTAATCTTTATCAATCAATCATCTTTGTAATCTTCCCACCATCTGGTCACCACTTGGTCCGGGAGACATCTCCCGTCACGCAGGGTGCAGTCGCGCCTCCACAGATCTCCAGTATCAGCTCTTGATACTGGTAATGGCTCAAAAGGGCCACCACTTACGAGCTATTCATGCCCGTGCCACCTTTTGGGTGGCTTCATCTTCATCTTAACACATTCACAAGGGAGACATCTCCCGTCACGCAGGGTGCAGTCGCGCCTCCACAGATCTCCAGTATCAGCTCTTGATACTGGTAATGGCTCAAAAGGGCCACCACTTACGGGCTATTCATGCCCGTGCCACCTTTTTGGGTGGCTTCATCTTCATCAATCATCATCATCGTGTTTGACAGAAACACCATTTGGTCCAGGAGACATCTCCCGTCACGCAGGGTGCAGTTGCGCCTCCACAGATCTCTAGTATCATCTTTTGATACTGGTAATGGCTCGAAAGGGCCACCACTTACGGGCTATTCATGCCCGTGCCACCTCTTGGGTGGCTTAATCTTCATCAATCAATCAATCTTTGTAATCTTACGGGAGACATCTCCCGTCACGCAGGGTGCAGTCGCACCTCCACAGATCTCCAGTATCAGCTCTTGATACTGGTAATGGCTCAAAAGGGCCACCGCTTACGGGCTATTCATGCCCGTGCCACCTTTTGGGTGGCTTAATCTTCATCAATCAATCTTTGTAATCTTACGGGCTATTCATACCCGTGCCACCTCTTGGTTGATCTTAATCAATCAAACTTTGTAATCCCTCTTACGGGCTGGGCTATTCATGTTATTCACACAACCCGTCCTCGCAGCGGCCGTCCTTCCTAGATGCATTCATCAGTTTTATCATACTATATATTAAAAATGGGTTTGTTCTCATATTAATTACTATTTACTAAAGTTAGGCGTATTGTAGGTGTTTAGGTTCTTTTGGCGAGTATTTGTATTTGAAATTTGTGGGTGAATCATTTACAGCGTTGTGGTTCGAACAGAGGACGTGAGCGAAGCACTTGTTCCGGAAGTGTTTGGACGTCATCAGTTGTGAGTCGCGTGTAATTAGCCCGTTCTCCAAACAAAGACCCAAAAGTGATTCCATACACCCGCCAAACTCCCTGTTTATGAATGAAAAACGTTTACACACGACTCACAACTGATTTCGTTCGAACATTTCCGGAACAAGTGCTTCACTGACGAATTTTGTTCGAACCACAAGGTTGTAAATTCTTTACCCACGTACTACAAATACAAATAATCGCCAATAGAACCTAAACACCTTTCCTAACCTGACCTATGCCTATATATGCACAATATATTAATATATTATAATATTAATTTATATTATCGAAAATTCATGTTTTGAATGAACAGCATGTTAAAATTCATGAATGCGTCTGTGGGGTCGACCGCTGGATGTAATGGACTTGCGTCGAGGGCGCGTTGTGTAAACTGTTTTTCATTTATAAACAGGGGGTTTGGCGGGTGCATGGAATAGACTTTGGTCTTTGTTTATGAGGACGGACTGAACCGTGTCATTCGATTCAGCTTGGTAATTAGTTTTTAAAGAGGAAACAATAACTAGTTTTCTCCCAAAAGTTCTCTTTCTCGTCTCCCAGATCACGATGCGTAAACTCATCCATCTTCGGACTTACCCAACTTTAGTAACGAATTGTCCAAGCTCTCACATACTGTTGAGCGTCCATCTTCTCAGCTACTCATCCTTCATCAGAACTGTAGAGCTTTGGTCTTCATATGTGTATGTGTACTCGGCTAATTGTGCTTGCTGGTGGGTGTGTGCGTGTGCTCACCTAGTTGCACTCACCTAGTTGTATTTGCGGGGGTTAAGCTTAGGCTCTTTTTGTCGCGCCTCTCAACTGTCAATCAACTAGTAGATCAACTGTGTATGTGTGTGTGTGTTCACTTGTATTTGCACTTAATACTTGTATCTGCAGAATCGATCTATTAGAGGAGGACAATTAACTGGGATATGAGGACAATTGACTGGGATATGAGGACACGTGGCTGGTAAACGAGGGCAATTGACTGGGATATGACGATAAATGGCTGGGATGAAAGGATAGAGTGAAGGAATAGTGTATAGTCACTTTGATAATCAAGAATCGAACGCCAACCCTGCAAGAAGCATGACTCTCCCGACGAATGAAAGTGGTTGGCGTTGCCACTCGCATGACAGCTGCTCTTGTTATTATTTTTAATGATAATGCTGTTTTTGTAACTGCTGCTTTTGGCATTACTGTTTTTATAATGCTCCTTTTGATCATGCTCGTAGTGAAGCTAAGCAGTGTTGTGCCTGTGACTTTATTGTTGCCCGTGTAAGTGCGGTTTTGTTTCAGTACTGATGGGTGTCATTGATGGTGTTTATTGGGTTCCTTCCAGTGCAGGTCGGAGGAATGATGTTACTACCGCTGCTGCTGCTATTTTGCTGATCTCAGTGGTGTTGATGGTGCCAGGCTGGTTGTTACAAGGCCGCCTCGCACACTATATATCCCCGGGGGCGTGATGAAGCCACACACACCTGACGCTAATGTGAAGAGAGTTACGGTGAAAAGTGGAGCCCACGCCACGCTGGACACAATGTTCACTTATTCTTATTAGACAAACTGTGGACCCATGATGCTTGCACCTTGCAGTCACCCCTCCCATGGTGCTTGGATCTCGCAGTCACCCCTCTCATGGTGCTTGGACCTCGCAGTCACCCCCTCCCATGGTGCTTGGATCTCGCAGTCACCCCTCTCATGGTGCTTGGACCTCGCAGTCACCCCCTCTCATGGTGCTTGGACCTCGCAGTCACCCCCTCTCATGGTGCTTGGACCTCGCAGTCACCCCCTCTCATGGTGCTTGGACCTCGCAGTCACCCCCCTCCCATGGTGCTTGGATCTCGCAGTCACCCCCTCCCATGGTGCTTGGATCTCGCAGTCACCCCCTCCCATGGTGCTTGGATCTCGCAGTCACCCCTCCCATGGTGCTTGGACCTCGCAGTCACCCCCTACCACGGTGCTTGGACCTCGCAGTCACCCCTCCCATGGTGCTTGGACCTCGCAGTCACCCCCTCCCATGGTGCTTGAACCTCGCAGTCACCCCCTCCCATGGTGCTTGAACCTCGCAGTCACCCCCTCCCATGGTGCTTGGACCTCTGTCATCCTCTCCCATGGTGCTTAGATCTCTCAGCTACTCCCTTTTATGGTGCTTGGATTTCGTAATCACCTCTTATGGGCTTCGATAACGAAATAATTACCTCCATGGTGTGTGTGTGTGTGTGTGTGAGTGAGTGATATCAATTGACCAGTACTCCAAAACACGATTGCTTTATGGCGAGCCTCTTCAAAACATTGAAATCAGTGTATTATAACCTTTGAGGTGCCCTGTGCGTGCCCGATATCAATATCCGTCTCTTGCTAACGTTACGTGCTGACTGACCCAAATATTACTTAATAATCGCCTCAAATGTACCGGAAGACATGTTTTATGAGTACCAGGTATGCTAAGACCTCTCCCAGAGCCGTAAGCTGTCTTCATGGAAATTGTCGTAATCCACGCTCTTGTATTGACGAGAGAGCCTAGCTGCCTAGTATATCCCAACAAAGAATTATGAGAAGTATTAACACCAAACATGGGTCAGGCCTGGAGCTGTATACAGCTAGTAGGTTAAGAGCGACGATGACGTCTGTGACTATCCCGCAAGGAACGAGGTCGCCTCTTACTATCCTGCAAGCAACAAGGCAACATGGTACTATCCTGCAAGCAACAAGGCACCCTGGGACTATCCTACAAGTAACAAAGCAACCTGGGACTATCCTGCAAGTAGCGAGAGACCCTGGGACTATCCGGCAAGCAGCATGGCCGCCTGTGACTATCCGGCAAGCAGCATGGCCGCCTGCGACTATCCGGCAAGCAACATGGCCGCCTGCGACTATCCGGCAAGCAACATGGCCGCCTGCGACTATCCTGCAAGCAACATGGCCGCCTGCGACAATATTTCCCTTTAGAAAAAAAAGGTAATTATAAGAGGACAAAAACTATTTTTTTCGTTTCATTATAAATATATTTAATATTTTCATTACCATAATTATTGTTTCCAGCGTCACAATTATTATTACGTAATTAACTTCATAAAAGCATCCTTCTGTTGCAACCCATCTTCAGTTTCTAATTGAATATATAAATATTATCAGTAATGAATTTTGCAAACATTAATTATATTTGTAAACATATTATAATATATAAAATTACAAATGATATTAATATAAAAGTAGAATTACCTAAAATATATACTAATAATATTATTACATTAATAGAACCAAATGAAAATAGCAACAATAATAGTATTAATAATAATATTATTATTATTAATATCACTAGTAGTAATAATTGTAAACAGTTCAACAAACAATGAAGTGCAAAATTCAGAGATGCTGTGTGCTTACCTCGCCTGCTGGCGCTGATGCTCCCCAGAGTCCTGAGAGGCAGACAAACACAGGGGGGTTCGATTTTTTCCCCTGGAGGGCGAGGAGAAAGAGCAAGGGGAGGTGGTGGGTGGTGTTGGGGGGGGGGGGGAAGGTAGGGGGGAGCGGTCTACCACATGGGACCACTACGGCCCCTCAGATCCTGCCAAATGATCCTCTTCATATTTTCTGACTGATAATCTGTTCAAACCCCACTTTTTTCAAATTGTTAACAAACAAAATTTCAGGCTTTGATTACTTATTCGAGTGTAAATCATTCTCAGGACACAGTGACATTCGTATAATCTGTTTGGTTCTCTTCTTATTCACATTTGGGTTCCATTATTAAAGATGTATTGTACTATGAATTTTCTAAATTAACGAACGACGGAAGGCCCAATGTTGCCGATTTTCTCTCCCGATGTGTCGATGGAGGTACTGACATAGTTCCTTGCCGACTTTCTGTCCCCCTTTAGCAGGGGAGATGGGCGAGTCATTGCACTATGAGGGAAAAAGAAAGCCAGCTTACTCTACCTCACCGACTCCCAAGCACAACTGAGGCCAGAGTGGAACTTGGGTCACGCCTGGCTTTACGGGAGCCAGAGGGCGGTACGATACGCTCCACTCAAAAGCAGTGCCCCATTCCTTTTAAATGGTGTAAACAGTATTAAACAGACGTTTCCTTCCAAAATACTTAGGAAAGATAGAGAGTAACGCATATTTTCACCATCAATGGGACGCTTGCACCACCTACTCTGATATAACTGTCGAAGAGAGTGGATGCTGCTGTCCTACGCCCGCCAGCTACTGCCGCTGCATCTCCCAAGAGAGCATCGATCCTAGATGGAAAGAAACCTTGATAACATCAGTCATTTTCATTCATTTTCAAATACCTTGTCAAACTTCACTCTGATGAATGAAGCAAGGCTGACACAAGTTGACCAGAACATTTCATAATATATATGATTCTCTAACGAATCCACCAATTCATATTCGGAGGAAGTGCAGTGATTTTAAGGTAACTGTCCATGCTGAACTCTGCTGTAAGTGTTCTTGTTGAACTCTGCTTTAATGCTTCATTTTGAACACTGCTGTAAGTGTTCTTGTTAAAGTCTGCTGTAAATGTTCATGTTGAATTCTACCGTACGTGTTCTTAATGAACTCTGCTATAAGTGTCCAAGTTGAACTCTGCTTTTAGTGTCCTTAAAAGAACTCGGCTGTCTTCATGTTGAACTCTGCTGAACACTGCAATAATAATAATAACAATAATAACACAAATAATTTATAATAATTTCATTATTCTCTTCTAGGCATAATTAACATTTATTATTCAATTATTTGAAGAGGGAAAGATGGGGAGAAGGGGATTGGTAGGAAAGGCGGGAAGTGAGGGAATTAGGGTGAAGAGTGGAAGAAAGTGAGAGAAGAAGGGGAGAGGCCGAGGAGAAGAGGGGGGGAGGGAGTGGGTGCCACATGACACTGTGCCATAGTGACCCCCAACGACAACACACTGTCATTTTTACTTGAATCTGAAATAGCTTTACTACATTTTTTTGGCTGTCCCATAAAACATTTATTGATCATACCAAAATACAAAATCTAATCAGTAAGTTTATCTTATCTTATAAAGTTTAATGACACGTTCATCATACTTACATACTAGGATTTTTTTGGATTTTGTGTTAATGTCTGATGATCATAGTTTATATACTATTTGTGAGCTGTTCTTATAGTGTTTTTATAGGAGAGAGAGAAGGACAGGAACAGCGGAAAAGAGAAAGTGAGAGAGAGAGAGAGAGAACGTGAGAAATAAAATACAAAAGATACATGGAAATGAAAAGCACAAGTCTTGGACGTTTGTGTTCTTCAACTCATCATGAAAGACGTACTGGGAAATATTATGTAAAGAAAATATGAATGGACTACAGATTAGAAGGCCAGGTCAATATTTACATTGGCGAGTTGTCCTTATAATGGGACGTGACTCCAAACGCAAGTACTTGATCACAAAGTAATGAATGATAAACTGCACAAGTCAATATTTCAAGTGTTCCTGTAATTTTAAAACAATAAATTAGTATATGTAATAACATTTAAAATTTAACCCTAAATTATATCACTAAAAATGCATGCAACTTGATTGCAATGCGTGTCAGGCTATGAATTATTTGCAAGAAACCACTTTTTAAAATGTAGTCATCCAACTGGAGCTTCGTAATCACTCATGTATACGAGTTTGACCTATTCAGATGCGATAAATATGATATTAAATCCCCTTTTCCAAATTCTTTCCTGTTCTCCGGTGTATCTCTGCTTCTACAAGAATTTTTTTTAACAAATCCGTTATTAGAAACTTGTGAGTGCTTCAGTATTAAATTTTTAACCGTAATCGAATTTTTAAATGCAAAATTAATATTTATATGTTTGAAGGCCCAGCATACGTTTGTAAGAAAATCTCTGTCTTGTGTTATGGATAGAAAACTTTCCTTTGTAGTTCTTCGGTTATTGAAAGTGGATTAAATAATATTAAATTGGGGCTAATCTTTAATATCCAGAACATATTGATAAAACATTAACCCAAGTTTTCGCCAACACTTTTCACAATTCTGTAACTTCAGTCTTAGACAATCCCTCTCCCTTTCCATCTCGCCTCCCTATTCTTTCTCCTTTCATTTTCACATTCGTTCATTAACTAGTTTACTTGTTCTTACATTTATTTATTCGATAACTTATTCAAAATTCATTCATATATGTCCAGGTGTTTACAGATACGAGACATTGACTGACCCTGAGACTTGACTAATGACACTACTATTCTGGGTAGGTATAAAACTGGCGCTCCTCCAGGAATTTATTGGCCAAACATTTCTTTACCGCGTCCCGCTACTCCATATTTTCCCTCAGGAAGATTAAGATTCCTGGGGAAATACGAGCAGCAAAATCTGAAATGTATCGCTAATATGGATTTCTATTTTGTTTTATTAAACTTGTAGTCAACGTTAATTGGAAAACTGACCTTCATCAATTTTTATAAGCTAGGTGCCTAATTTCTTCAAAAGGAATTACCGGAAAAAAGGCAGATGAATCTATAATTTCCTGACTAACAGAACCCAATGTGTAATAGTCAACAAAATAATATCCGGTTCATCAACCGTGAAGAGCTCAGTTCCTCAGGGTACTGTGCTTTCTCCAGTACTTTTTTTCATTCTCATATTTTACATAAACAAGGACATAATCTATAGTACTGTGTCATCCTTTGCAGTTGACACTAGGATTTTAATGAGAGTACACAACATAGAGGAACAGGCGAACCTACAATTAGATGTAAACCAGGGCTTTCTATGGGCTACAGAAAATAATATGGTGTTTAACAAAGATATGTTCTAGCTCATGCGCTATATTGGAAAAAATGAAAATATAAAAGCGGTAACCCACGTACAAAACGCAGTCAAATCATAACAGAACGAACATAGAACGAAAAGGCAATGTAAAGGATTTGGGTGTACTCATGTCGGAAGACCTTTAACTTTAAAGAACATAATAAATTAGCCGTCACATCTGCAAGAAAAATTGCAGGTTGGATAATAAGAACCTTTTACACTAGAGATGTTATTCCGATTATGATACTTTTTAAGACGCTACTGCTCTCTTGAGTAGAATACTGTTGCACAATGACAGCCCCTTTCTAAGCTGGAGAAATGGCTGACCTGGAGAGAGTGCAGAGATCCTTTATTGCTAGAATCTACTCAGTAAAATATCTAAACTATTGGGACCGACTAAAATGCCTAAATTTGTATTCTCTTGATCGCAGGTGGGAGAGATACATAATAAATTACACGTGGAAAATAGTAGAGGGACTGGTTCCAAACCTGCAAACAGAAATAACACCACATGAGACCAGAAGGCAGGGTGTGTAGAATACCCGCGTTGAAAAGCAGAGGTGCAATAGGTACTCTGAGAGAGAACTTTATCAACATCAGAGGGCCAAGACTGTTCAACACGTTTCCACTACACATAAGGGGCATAACTGACCGACCCCTCATGGTGTTCATGAGAGTACTTGATAAGCACTTCCAACGGATACCTGATCAACCAAGCTGTGATTCATACGTCAGGCTGCGAGCAGCCGCGTTCAACAGCCTGGTTGACCAGTCCAGCAACAAGGAGGCCTGGTCGAGGATCGGGCCGCGGGGATGCTAAGCCCCGAAATCATCTCAAGGTAACCTAAAAAATGCCAAAATCACCGTCATGTAATTGTCTTAAAAATTTAACAATATTTCATATGTAATTTCACAGACTTGGTAAATCAAAGCATATATTATATATAATTTAGCACAAGAAGCAATAAAGGGATAGAGGAAATAAATGGTATTTATGATTGCCATTAAACAGCAGCGTCGCACAAGTGGAAGATGGCCGGGTAAAGCTCTGAGAAATATGTATAATTAAAGTTATGATATAAAGTGTAGAAATAATATAGCACACAATTCCATTATAATATGGAAATGAGTAGTGACTCTCCTGTCAGATACAGGGAAAAACTGAGCTGTATATTACGTTATCAAAAGTCACCAACCCTTGGTTGCCAAGATTACTCAGTCTGTACTGAGTACTCAATCCCAGTCTCCTAAAAGCTAACAAAAGTAATGTAAATTTTAACGTACAAATCACTTTACCATTCTTACGGTAATAGAAACTCGATATATTTTATAGAGGACAGACTAGACGGCTCCTCATAACACGGGAGCGATTGACGACGGAACCACACATCAGAAAGTGAGCGACTTCATATTACATCGAGTCGGAAAGTTTGTTTTTGTGAAAGGAATGCAATAGAAATTCATATAATATTTCTTAGAGCTTGGTCATTATTGTACTTGCATAGTATTTTCCAGAATAACACACCAAGAAATAAAACGAAAATAAAAACTTATCAGTAAGCGAGACTTTGATGTCGGGAAAAAATATCCTAATAATGCAGAAAGAGGGATTATATTACGAGGAAATGAATCGAGTTACTGAAAGTTCGATATTAGATTCCAAAATACTTTTTTGATCGACTCTTAATTCAATATTGACATCATTATAGCCGTTATCTTCGCGTAATAGCACCAGTTACCTATTGAGGAACATTTTTACATTCCCCAATAAGGAGATAAGTTGAAAATCCTGTGAGATAAGCGCTTAGTGGTGTAAAACATACACGCGCGTATATATGTGTGTGTGTGCGTGCGCGCGCGTTAGAGTAGGGTAGACAGAAACATTTGTCCCTAGATAAAACTTCTTCAAAAGCTGGTATAGTACGTTAGCATGTCCAAAAGAGTAATAATGGTAAGTGAATACCAAATAAGCATAAAATAGCTACTGGGATTGAGTCGAAATATAATGAAAAACGCAGGTGTTAATAAATGTTAATATTACGAGTTAATAGATTTCAACCTGTCAAGATATGCAAGTGGTGAGAAGTTGATAAGGAATATCAACATGTGCTGAATATAATATGTAATGAGAATAATAGTGAATGGCAATTTGCGGGTTGAAACATTAAACAGAAGGGTTCTCTGATGACCTTATCAGCAACCCGATATATTGATCCCAACTTTTTTTTTATTTATTGCTGGCATAGACTACTACTGGTGGTCCAGAGTTCACAAACTCAAACATAAACCACAATATAACATGATCATTCGTGCAAAACATGGTCTGGTGTTCACGTTCCAAACGCAGCCAGCTAAGAGTTCACGTTCCAAACACAGCCAGCTACGAGTTCACGTTCCAAACACAGCCAGCTACGAGTTCACGTTCCAAACACAGCCAGCTACGAGTTCACGTTCCAAACACAGCCAGCTACGAGTTCACGTTCCAAACACAGCCAGCTACGAGTTCACGTTCCAAACACAGCCAGCTACGAGTTCACGTGCCAAACACAGCCAGCTACGAGTTCACGTGCCAAACACAGCCAGCTACGAGTTCACGTGCCAAACACAGCCAGCTACAAGTTCGTGCCAAACACAACCAGCTAAGAGTTTTTGTGCCAAACACAGCCAGGTAGCACGAGCTTAGTAAGAGCACACGTGTCAAACATAGTCTAGTAAGAGCACACGTGTCAAACATAGTCTAGTAAGAGCACAAGTGTCAAATGCAGTCTAGTTAGAACACTCGTGTCAAATACAGTTTAGTAAGAGCACACGTGTCAAATACAGTCTAGTAA